TAATCCAAAGCTAATCTTTAGTGCGAGTTCATTATCCAATTTATAACCATCAAAAGGTCTTTTACCTGTAGATAATTCCCACATAATAACACCTAATCAGTAAATATCTGCGGCTCGAGTGAATAGGTTTGTAAGACTTCAGAACTTACATATGGCAATACACCATAAATCTTACCAGCTTCCTCGTTCTCATTTCTAGCTAAGCCTAAATTAGCAATAAGACACTTCTGTGTAACCATCAAATTCATCATGTAAAACGTTTCCGCTATGAAAATCCGAATGAATCAATCCCACGTTATGAATTTGTTTTAAATTATTTAAAATATCTAAAAGCATCTCTAATTTTTTTCCCATTCTAAATTTTGAAAATTTTTGTTTAAGTAATTATAAAGGCATCCACTTTTAGCATATTGAAATACTATCATATATTCGCCCGTTTCATGCTTCAGGGTGAATCCATATATTTCTGACATTACATATTTCCTATGGCATTTTATGTGGTTTTCAAATTCTATCGGAGTTATAGTCTTAAGAGCAACAATACCAGGTGATTCATCATCATTTTATACAGTTTTTCACCATAATTTGGTTATCCAACCATAATGCTCTATAAACAGTGCTAAATCCGCCCTATAATTTCAAATTTTGTTAATCGATAAAATGGAATCCATTTAATATTATACTCAAGTTGAATTTTTTTAAAAATTTCAGCTTACTTGAACCTCCGATTCTCGAATTTCTCAAATAGTTGTTTGATTTCATTTGAACTTATCCAATTATTAATTTTATCATGAATATCTTCTAGAGTAGGTCGTTTATCAGGATCAGAATCTACGCATTGTTTGGCTAATTCTACATAACATTTAGGAGTTTCTGGTACAAATTCAGGATGTAATCCTTTACATATGTCTAATAAAAGATTAGAATCAAACTGTCTTCCATCATATGGTCTTTGCCCAATGGATAATTCCCACAGAATAATACCCAATCCATAAACATCTGCAGCTTGTGTGAATGGTTTTCCTTGTAGGACTGACATATGGTAATACTCCATAAATATCACCAGTTTTCTCATTTTCTTTTCTAGCTAACCTTAAATTGGGAATATAGGATGATACTATGTAACCATGAAAATCGTCATCTTGTAAAATGTTTTCACTATAAAGATCAGAATAAACCAATCCCACATCATGAATTTTTTTTAAATATCTAAAAATATCTTTAATTTTTGTTCCCATTTTAAATCTTCTTTTAAGTAACAGTGAAGAAGATGATCTACGATTCTATTATATTTATTATATTGAAATAGGATTCATAGTAGACCCATATACACTTAACGTTAAATATTTCTCAATATGATTTTAAAATTCCTTTAGGGTTATAGTTTTGAGAGCAACAAAACTTAGCGACTCGTGCATATCATTTTCATCATCACAATCATCAAAACTAGGATTATATCTAGCATTCAACAATCTTGCTTTGTATACAGTGCTAAATCCATCTTTTCTTATAATTATTATATCGGTTAATCTATTAAATGGGATCCATTTAATATTATATTTAAGTTGGATTTTTTTAAATTTCTCAAATTTGCCAAATTTTTAGAATTTATCCAATTATTAATCTTATCATGAATATAGGTCGTTCATCTGGATTGGCATTCATGCATTGGTTGGCTAATTCTTCATAATATTCAGGTGTAGGTGCACAATCCCATCCTACAAATTTTTATCAAAAGATCGGAATCCCATTTATATTCGTCAAATGTTAGTGTTCCTGATGATACCTCGGTCATAATTACACCAAACCTACCAAACCTATAGATATTTGTGGATTGAGTGAGTAGTTTTGATTTTCTCCACAAGACTTCTGGTGCGATATAAGTGTAAATGCCGGGAATTTTAGATTCCTTAATTTCGCAATAAATATGTTCTGTTTCATTTAATTCTAATAAAACTTTCTTAAGCCAACATAACCTAGCATTCCAATCAGATGAATCAATAGTTTGTATAAAATGTTTATGGAATTCGAATACCCTTTCTCGATAAGGTATAGCAACAATAGCTTTTAAAAAAATTAAAAAAATAATATTCACATTATCTGTTACGTATAGTATTGCAAGATTTAATTAATGTTTGAGTTGCACGGAATGCGAACCGCTATGTGGATTGAGGTTTCGGACATAGTAATTCTATGAGGGCGGCTTAATGATGGTATGAACTTAGTGAGAGAAAATTATTATAACTATGTTACTTTATGTAGTGTTACAAATCGGACCAAAAAATGAAATTGATTAGTTGGCCAAAAAAAATTTAAAAAAATCGATTAAAAATCGATTATAGCCAACTAATTGATTAATCGATTAATCGAATAGTCAATTAATCGATTAATTGACTAGTCGTTTGGTTGGTATATCGAAATGGCTTGAATATAATTGTGTAGCCATTAATTACAAGATCAGAGTAAAATACCATATAAAACAACTAGTCAATTGGTCAACTAATCGATTAACTAACTAGTCGATTAATCAGTTAATCGATTAATCGTCTAACAAAATTACCAATTGACTAGTTGCCAATTCGATTAATTAATCGATTAATCGATTTGGAACACCAACTTTATGATGGAAACGAAGTCCTTCTGTTTATTAAATAAATGCTTCATTTTTATACATTTTGATCAATATGAAAGAGAACACGGTTTGGAACTTATTTGTTGAGATCAGAAGCTTCACACTATCGTGTTAGCCTCATGTCAATGAACGAAATATGAAAAAAATCAAAATAAAATACATTTGCTTCATTATTAAAGTGACTACAGTGATCTGTGCTCAGTCTTTGGTCATGTAATTATGATCACTGATCTGATCCAATCAGATTCGTGATAATAAATGTTCTAATAATGATAAATTGTTTAACCCTTAACAAACCAAAACTTTGAGCGAAGATATCTCAACAACCACCTAACTAAATTTGATTAAATTTTTATTTGAGTTGTATGAATTTAGAGAACACAAGTAAAAATTTGGTTAGGTGGTTGTCAAGATATCTTCGCTAAAAGTTTAATAAATTTTTTTTTTAAATTTGGGTAAAGATATCTTGATACCTACTTGTTCAAATTCGATAAAATTTTTTATTCGAGTTATATGAATCTAGAGGATTCAAATAAATTTTTTTAAAAAATTTAATAAAGTGGTTCCACATCACTGCAACTTGTTGAATGACGTTATAATTCATTAGGGTAATTTTCTTGTATCACTAGTTTAAATGGATTAAAAATCCTAAAACCAACCATTCCACGAGAAGTAGCAAAAAACCATCATTATTATTGAAAAGCTAGTTGCAGTATCAAAACTTGCCCATGGAAAAACAACTCACTACATACTCAAAAATGTAATGTGATCAATGCAAAAATTAATTATTTATTCTTCGTTGGTTTTTTTTTTCTTTAATGATTCAAAATGCAGATATAAAAGTTTACTTTTTGTTTACACCAATTGTGAAATAATTTTTTACAAGTGACCAGTGTTACGGCCTAAACTGAAACTTTCGGCCGGCCGAAACCTCCGAAATATAGTTTCGCCAGAAGTCCCAAATCCGAAACTTCCGAAACTGGGCGAAACCTCCGAAACGGGCGAAACTTCAAATACTTCCGAAACAAATAGCCAATAAAATACGAAATTTTTCGGATCATGCGAAAAACAAATGCATAAATAAGTATAAATTTACATCCGATACTAGGTGAAACTGGCTGAAACCTCCAAATTGGGAGAAAAATAGAAGAAAGTTCCGAAACTTTCCGAAAGACAGAGTTTGGAAGGATGTTCAGAGGGTTTTGGAGGGTTCGGAGGTTTCACCCATTTCGGAAGTTTCGGCCATTTCGGATTTTGGGCGAAACCGAAACTCCAGGGCCGAAACGTTTCGGACTTTGGGGGAGGTTTAGCCCGAAACACTGCAAGTGACCCATATTAATTTCGAAGCAATACAATTGTACAAGTCTCTAAGAGCAACATCTAACCATTATAATTATTCGTAGTTTTTTATTCTTCTTTTGACTTTGACAATTAATCCCAACTTCGAACACATCAATATTTCAGCAGGCCAATCACGGAAGTTCAATCTGAGCAGCAAAAATACGGGCAAAAAAATGGTCTTTTTCTTTTTTGCTTACCTTGCTAGTAAAGTATTTCTGCATACCTGATCAACTCATACGTAATAGAATATTTGTGTTATACTGTGTTACTCGAATCATGTATAAATGACTTCCATCAAGCTTTGTTATTATTTAAACAGCTTCATTAACAATTTAATTGAAAATAGCCGCTATTAATCAAGCAGAAGAGTTTATAAAAGATTTTAGTAAATTGAATAATTGACAGAAGAAATATTGATAAAGGCGCTTAAATTATTTAGTGATGCTTCAACCTTCGAATATCACTCAGAGAACACTATGATACGTCTTGAAGCTCACCTTCGAACTTGGATGGCAACCTTAGAAAGAGTGTACCATTCTTATATCGTTCTAGAAAGTGAAATCCGTGAACAGCTTTATAGTCGTTTAAGCGACTAGAGTTTGGAACCGGATTTGTTTTTTAAATCCGAATTTATTTAATTCGAATGTGAAGCTTCGAATTTAATCCGGTTTTAATATATTTGGTTGCTTCGGTTTAGCCGGTTTTATTATATCCAATTTTATGGTTATAAATATCATGTATTACGCAACAAATTAGATGTTTGATTAAACTCACAGTACCTCATTATACTTTTAATTAACCTCATAGTACCTCATTATACTTTTATAATTTCTCATAACCCCAATTGACTGAATTTTAACTTATTGTATTGTATAAATCCGAATATCTCCGGTTTTATTAAAACCGGTCTTCGTATTAAATAAATCTCATTCGAATTCAAATTCGAATCGAATAAAATCGGGTTTAAAATCGAAGACCGAATTCGGTTCTAAACTCTATAAGCGACTTTGTTGATTTTCATCATAAGATGACAAATTCTTTTAAGCAAGGTGTTAAGTCAAGAGGAAAATTTAAGGATATTTCTAATAATGATGATTCTATGCATCTTCAAGATCGTAATATTTATATGCATTTTCAAAATTATACCATTAATTTTTACTGATTCACTTACGTGATACTTTACATAGTATGCATGATGATAATAGTATGTGTGATGATGAAGCACGCATAGATGAAATTTTACGACGTATCAAAGATATTTATTCGTATTTCACCTAAAGATACTGACGTTACATCAGGAAATATTCCGGAAGTAACTAGTATTGCTGAAATTTTACCAAACCTCATTCAAGTCTTTAACTTCAAATATCCTATCACTTATTGGTATCCAACTTGGCGTGAACTTCTATCAATTTGTTATTTGTTAGAGAATTTAACTAATGATGAGGATTGTAGCAAATTAAGTTCCTATAACGAAACATATCTTCTTGAATTATTTTGGCAATATATTTTAGGTATTAATCAAAAAGCTCAAAATGAGATTTTAAATAATCAAAATGAAACTCTTGAATTTATGAATATATGGACAAATGAAGAACCAATAGCACCACCAAATTCATTATGGTTTGGAATTTTAGAACTTGCTCAACATTTAAGCCAAAAACAACTCAAATTGTTAGTTTAGCTCTTTGCTATTATCTAGGTTTAGAATCATTACAAAATTCTAAATGCAATTATATTTGGTTTAAATCTTTAGAATTACTTTTATCGCTTCATTATCAATAACTAGAATTGTTTAAAGAAATTGTAAAATATGACATCAACAAATATAAAGAGTCATTATCAAAAACTTCTCAACAATTTTTCGAAAATATTTTTCATAATGTAACACAAAAACTTCAATTAAATCGCCAATTGATAGAACAATCAAGTATCAAAGAGTCAAATTTGTTAAAGAATTAATATTAAATACAATTGCAGATGAACTTACTTGCCCAATTACTAAACAATTTCTTAATTTTAACATGTGGACATTCTGTTAGTAGCATAGCGAACTTTTATTGTGATTGGCTAATTTTTGTAGATCATCTTGTTATACTAAAGTATTATTAAAGTAACG